TTAAGTGTTTATTATCTTATCATTAAAAAAACTACAAAACATTATTATATATGACTAAAAATCATCAGTGTGCACAATTTATTTTGACGAATGTTTTTGTAGCCCGTAAAACTTGCTTATCTTAATATTTTTAAAAATCCCTCTTATGTGATATTATAATGCTGACTTGAAGTGAATTCGTACCGGACTTAGCAATATCGCTCATGACTAGGAAATGTTGTACATTTCGTTACTTTATTGAGCTTAGCATGTTTCAATAATTGGTGCCAGTTATCAACTTTCACATTACGTATCTCATGTTTTGGAAAGTAGCAATCCGTAACGTTAAATCTGTAGATATGCGCTCATGATGAGCTCTGAAATATAAAAGAGCTATAGAACCACGACGCCATTGTGTTATTCTAAAACGACTTCGTCTATATATCATTAACATACCAAATAAACATCCAAATTCCATCTCTACCTAACTTGCCTCTTGTTCTTCTTCAAGAGATTTGATGTGAAGAAGTGATCTTGCTCTGAGTGCAGTTGTTGTTTGTACGTATATAATAAGTGCTATGTTGAGTACATGAAAACATTTGAACTAGAGCTGGTTCTTGAAACTGTAACTGTAGTATATAGCCTGTGAGAAGTTCCTCTGACGTATTGGCTTCACACAAAGGTGATTAAATTACATTGACAACATCAATGAGAATCAATTCTGCAATATGTAAACAATTTTTCATACTCCTTTCTTACATCTTGAATTGACACAGCCTCCATCTTCCAGCTTTAGCTCTTTCAGCTTGTTCTAATATCGTGTTATCTTCCTTCAGATTCTACACAAACTCCCAAAATTACCTCCTTTGCCACTCTTTCGTTGGTTTTCTTCAAGCCCTTGTTAATCTGCCGTATTGTGGCACAATTTCCTGTTGTAACTGCATTTACTATGGAATTGCTTGCTCAGCGCGGTAGAGTTGACCAATGGGTATGAGAATGATTGTTTACTTCGTTTTTTCCAAGTTTTTTTCCCTGTGTTGAACTTTTGCTAAGTTGAGCATTCATTTGCTATCTGTTCACCTCTGCAAAAGTCTATCACTGATATTGAAGGGTAGACAAAGCCGGCCCAATCGGGATAACAATGTGGTTTTAAATGTGCAAATGGTTGATGTTACCGTTTAAGGGTCAGTGAGTGATTAAAAAACTTCTTTGCGAAAGCGAAATTAATGGCTGCTAATATGTAAGGGAGGCAGAGTCTTGTTCGACAGGCTATATTCGAATGCTTACATATCGTGTGATGTGCCTCACCGTATCAATTTAGGTGACAGTCTTTTTAATCCCCCATACCCATGCTGTAAGAAACGGAGATAGCTTCCTAACAAAGAAGTTTTTAAAAGGCATCAAGATCTGCTTAATGCATCTACTACGCTTTCTGCTATCTTCCATCTCGCAACCTCGTCTTTTTCAAATGAGAAAGCAATCCAATTTTGGGAGTTTCATTAATCTTAAAACTTTAAGAAGCAATGATCTCCAAGAGCTCTCGAAGCACCAATGGGAGCGTCGCTGATGCAAATCCACCACCAGAAAAGATCTCAACAAGCAAATCCTCTTCAGAGTTTAAGGTATATATAAGTCAGAAAGGTGGTATCTAACAAATATTCGTCTTCTCATTACTTTTCTTCAGAGCCCTAGGATCATATTAAGTGTTTGTATCTTGTTTTGTATA